CTGCTGCGCCCCCATTGTCGCAGCGTCGCATTGGACGCCGCAACGAGGGGGAGGGGATAGCGAGGAGCGAGGGTCAGCAGCGAGCCCACTGGGGGCCCTCTCCATGGAACCCTCCTCTTGCTCAGAGTATTGAGGGGGCCTCTTGGGGCCGCCTTCCTGTGGGCATCGATCAATCAGATGCAGCGGTGGTGGTGGTGGTGGCGGTGGTGGCGGGGGGCTTACAGACCCCTCCCCCCCCCCCCCCCACGCACACACGCGCGCGCACACGCGCACACGCACATGCACACATACAAACACAACTACAAACACACACACACACACACACACGCACACGCACACACACACACCACCCCCCACCCAGGACACACACACGCGCACACGCACGCACGCACGCACGCGCACACGCACGCGCACACACATACAAACACACACAGACACACACGCACACGCACGCACGCACGCACGCATGCACGCACACACACACACACACACACTCACATTCACACACACACACACACACGCACACTCCTCTCTCCGGGACGATCGATTTCGCTTCCTGGGCGGCTTTGACTAAATAATATCAGTATTTTTCATAGCGGGAACGCAAAATAAAACATTGCTTCTCGGAGGAGGGCCCTGAAAGTACGCGACAACATTTCTCAGGCAGGGCACCTCGGAGCATGTTGGAAGCCATATCTGGCGACCTGCGGTGCGGTGGGGCGGAGGAGGAGGCCATCTGGGGGCATCACTGGCGGCCCTCGTCCTTTCGCCATCTTGGGCAATCTTTGGCGCTCTAAACAATCGGCCAAACCCTTGTCGCCTTATACATGTGTATGATGTATGATTATGCATATATATATGGGTCTGTATAGGTCCAGGGGGGGGGGGGCAGGGGGAGGGGTAGTAAAAAAACCAGGTCCAGGGGGGGGGTAGGAGGGGGAGGGGTAAAAAAAAAAAAACCAAGGGGAAGAAGGAGGTTGGAAGTGGAAACTCTCTAGGCCACCTACGCCCGAAAGGGCCGGTGGGATTCGCTAGTAGACAGACCACCTGCGGCCAGAGGGCGGCGGCAATAGTCGCGGTGGCGTTGGAGCGGCGGCACTGGTGGCGGGAGCGGCGGCAGTGGCGGTAGCAGAGCGGCAGTGACTGGGGCGGGGCGGCAGTGGTGGTGGTGGTGGCGGCGGCGGCGGTTGGCGGCGGCAGCGAGCGGCAGCGGCGGCGGCGGGCTGCTTCTTCGCCCTGCCCTCCCTGTGGCCCAGGTGGGCAGCGCTGGGCGGGCGCTGCTGGGCCTGCCGGCGACTGGTGGCGCGCAGGCGTCGCTCGAGAAGGCGTTGTTGCTGGGGCTAATAATCGCTGCCGCCCCCCCCCCCCCTCCCCCGCAGCAGCCGCCGCCCCCCCCCGCCTCCCATGGCGGTTGGCGGTGGCGCGGGGTCGAGGCGGGGGGGGCGGCGGCTCGTTGGGCGGGCTAGAAGGTGGCGTACGACATGCTGATCGGCGACGCCCCGGTGCCTGGGTGGTCCGATCCGCAATCGCAGCAGGACTTGCTGGTTGGGAAAGACAAAGGGGGGGGCTGGTAGGTAGCTCCCCCTTTGGGCCCCTCCTCTCCCAGAGGCCGCTTGCTACCAACAACCTGGGGTAGTAGGGGGAGGATGGGCCGGCCGCCTGCTACAAACCTGGGGCTAGACATCATCCCCCCTGCCCGGCCACCTCGCGAGGACCAGCTGGAGACCCGGGTCTTGGAGGCGCTAAGCGCGGAGCACCGGCGGCGCCAGTGGGCGGCGGTGGTCGAGGAAAACCGCCGTCTCGCGACCTCGCCGCGCGTGCACTGGCTGTCGACTTATCCGAATAATCTCATTCCATCGAAGCTCTTGACGGGGTGGGGCATGAACTGGTGGCTCGGCGGCGTGGCGGCTGTGCAGGATAGGGCTAATAGCTTGGACTGGGACATCCCGGTGGACTGCCTCGGCGCCGGGCCTGGAGGCGGGGTGCGGCAGTGGGCGGCGGGGCTAAGGGACCCAGTCCACTTGCCAGCATCGTGGAATTACCACGGGGTCGCGCAGCAGCTGAGGGGTGCGATAAGAACCCTGGCCGCGGCGCCGCGTGGGGCTAAGGTGCTCATCTTCTGCCGCCAGGGGGAGTGCCGGTCGGCGTGCGTGGCTGCTGTGTGTCTCTGCGCCATGGGGCTAATGAGGGTTGAGCAAGCGGTGCGCCTCGTGCGCGCGAGCCGCCCCCAGGCCCTCCCACCTGGCAACTCGCGCGCCATGGAGGACATCGCGAAACTCGAGAAGCTCTGGGAGAACGAGGGCGAGGCGCTAAGGCATGCGGCTGCGGCAGGCGCCACCAGGGCTCGCGGGCGGCTGGGGGGTGAGGAGGGGGAGGGAGGAGGGGGGGGAGGAGAAGGAGGAGGAGGAGGAGGGCGACGACGACGAGGACGAGGGCGAGAACGAGGAGGACGAGGACAAGGTGGAGGAGGAGGACGAGGAGGGAGGAGGAGGAGGGAGGAGGACGAGGTGAGGAGGAGGGAGGAGGAGGAGAAGGAGGAGGAAGAGGACGAGGAGGACGAGGAGAAGGGGAAAGAGGAGGAGCAGGAACGTGAGGGGTCGGAAGAGAAATAGGGGGAGGAGGATGGGGGGAGGGAGGAGGATAAGGAGGAGGAGGACAAGGGGGATGATGACGAGGACAGGGGGGGAGGAGGAGTGGACGGGCAGGAGGAGGAGGGGGAGGAGGAAGACGATGAGAGGGGATGATGATGTGATGAGGAGGTGAAGAGGAGGAAGAGGAGGAGGGGAAAAAGAGGAGGAGGCAGATGATGAGGGGGCGTAGTTCGTTCCAGGCAGAGTGATGAGGGGGGGGCCCCTGCTGCTGTCCCCCCTGTCTTCCATCTCCATCTCCTCGTCCTCCTCGTCCTCCTCGTCCTCCTCCTTCTCGTCCTCCTCGCCCCCCCCCAACTTGGCCCCTCCTCCTCCCCCCCTCACCTGCTGCTGCTGCCCCCCTCCCCCAGGCTTCGACGAAGCCCAGTTGCCCTTGGGGGGGGGCCGCCGTCACCGTGGCCTTCGAGCGCGGGTGCGCTCGCGTGAAGGGCGAGAGGGAGGCGGGGGGCTAAGTTTCGGCGGGGCGCCGCCGCCGCGGGCGCCGCCGGAGCTAAGGTATAAGCGGACAGACGGCGCCTGGCTGCCGCAGCGAATTTGGGAGAAAAGGTGGAAGAGACATAGATAGGGAGTAAGAGGGGGGAGGAAAGGGGGGGGAGGAGGAGGAGGAGGAGGAGGAGGAGGAGCAGGATGAGGAGCCTCCCCCTGACGACGAGACGACTACCATGCTTTTTATACCCGAAGGCTAGGGGCAAGAAACAGTACCGAGTTCAAAGGCAAACAAGACGACGCGTCAATCATCTTCTTGTACTTTCCATCGGCGGGCTTTAGCAACACCACGCCAGTGCCCTCGCGGACAACAAAAAAAAGAGGGCCCCAGGGGGGGGGCATCATCTATAGGCAGGGGGATGCGCTTGTCCAAGGCAAGCGCATATTCAATTAAATGAGAAGAGGAGGAGCAGGAGGAGGGGCCAGGAAGAGAGAGGAGCAGGAACAGGAAGAAAGGAGCAAGTCATATTTAACTTGACATTATTTCCTGGCGCGTTCCCCAGCAGATTGGATTCCATGTGATCTTAGCCCATCCATGCGATCTTAGCCCCCATCGCGCGTTCAATTCCATTAGATCCCATGCCCCCCAGCAAGTGAATGAGAGCCCCAGGAGGGTTGAATCCTAGGTGCCAGATGCAGGTGGGCTAGGTGCCAGTTAGCGCGGTTAGACTTTGTTCCCCCTCTTTGGGGCCCTCGTGGGCCGGTCTGGGGCCCCTCTAGTGCCGTCTTGGGGGGCCTTTTGGGCCGTCCTGGGGCCCTTGCGAATCATCTTGTAGCTCCGAGAGGTCTCTGACGCCGTCTCGGGGCTTTCTTGGTCCCCTCGTGGGCCGTTTCGGGTCGGTATTGGGCGCCTCTTGAGCCGTCTAGCGGCGTTGAAGCCACAAGCGGCAAGAACGCCAAAATCCTTGAAAAACCCAAAGACAAAATATGATTCTTGCCTCTTGGGGCACTCGTCGGGGTCCTCTTGGAGCCTTCTTACGCCGTCCTAGGGGCCTCTTGGTCCGTTTGGAAAGCTGCTTGGGCCGTCTGAAACCTCTGGAGGTCGTCGTGCGTCTTGGGCCGCCCGGACGGCTGTCTGATCGCTCTAGGGGCGAATTTGCAGCACCCCATCAGCAGGCCCGGCCCCGAAGCGCTCCAAAAAAAATCGCCCCCCCCCCCCCCTCTCCGGGACAAAAAAGGGAACCAGGGCGGGGGGGGAACTTTGAAAAAGTGTGCCGCCCCCAGGGTTATATGATATATGCGGTGCCTCTCGGCAGCCATGAACTCGCCGGCACGGCTACGACGGCGGCGCCAAAGAGTCAGCAAGTGCCCGCGAGACATCCCCCCCTCTCGTCGTCCCTTCCCCGCTCCAAGCGCAGAGTTCCAGGCCGCCACGCCGCTTACCACAAAGGGGGCGCGGGCGGAGGCCCTGATGAGGCCGCACAGGCCCTGCCCCCTGACGGCCCGTGCCGTGCACGCAGCAGAAGAACAATCGGCGCCCACGGGCGCTTCCGCGCGGGCCTCTGCCTCGTCGCCTCCAGCCTGAGCTCGGAGAGCCCGGGCCCCCCCCCGACGGCAGCGGACGGCCACACTCGGACGGCCTGGATCACGAGACGCGACGGGGCACGCCCACCATCACCGCTGGGCCTCCACAGCGAGGGCCCCCCGCCTGGGGCCCCCGGCAGCCCCGCGGGCCTGGCCTGCCCGCCGGGCCGCAGCCCGCAGGCGGCGTGGCACGGCCCGCGCCCCCCGAGATCAGCGCTACTTCCGCCGCCTTGGTAGGCCTACTGGGCCCAGCCCAGGCGGCCGCCCCGCCGGCCCTCCGCAGCAGCCGCCCCGGCGGCGGTGCGGCCCGCCGCGCCGCCCAGGCCGACGGGCAGGCCGCCGCCCCGGAGCGCGGCCTCGGCGGCGCGCAGTGCCGCCAGCAGCTGGGCCTCCTGGTCGAGGCCGAGCACGCAGTTGAGGTTCCTGCCCGTGAGGAAGGGGTCCTCCACGTGCAGGCGACGGACCACGCGCGGGACTCTGCTGTCCGCAGCCACGGGGGCGGAGGCGCGCCGCCCTGCAGGGACCTCGCGGAGCGCCAGGTGTCATGGCCCTGAGATCCTGGCGTGGCAACTTTTGCGCAATGGGCGTTGTTTGCCCAGGCTCGGGCCCCGCGGCGCCCTCACAGATCGAGCCAGCTCGAAAAATGACGCAGCAAGATGGGGCCCGGGGCTCCTGTCGTGCTTTCTGGGCGATGTTGCACTTGTTCTGCAACGTCAGACCTCAGGGGAGGTGTCCGCCCTCGGGGAGGCGGGAGGTCATCAGCACCCAGCGCCGCCCGAGGATCCTTCGGGGCAGCGCCTCCCACACGGAGGCAATGGGCAACTCCCGGGCGTGGGCATGGTCCGTGGTGGTCGGCAGCCGAGCGAACTCCGGGCTGCCCGCCCCGCACCGCCGGCCGAGACGCACCGAGACGACCTCGCTGCCCCACTCGAACTCGCGAGAGTAGAACGCGAAGAACTGCCGCAGCGCCTCGGGCAGCGGGGGTCGGCACTCCCAGCGCGGCGCGGCGGGCGGGGGCCCGAAGCCGTCGAACAGCTGCGTGGGGAGCAGGGGCAGCCCGAAGTCGGGGTGGACCTGCAAGAAGTAGAGCGCCATCAGCGCCAGGGCATAGGAGGTCAGGTTCCCGCCCTGCGCCCCACAGACGCCGGCGGCCTTGGACCAGACTTTCACAAGCAGCGCCAAGGCCCGCGCCATCGGGCTCGCCTGTGCCAGGAGAGCCCAGAATCGACTCGATAACTCGGATCGGCGATCCAAACGAATCGGATCGGCGGAAATCGGCAGCCGAGTCGGGAAAAATCGAATCGGCGGAAATCGGCAGGCTAGTAGGCCTCCAGTGGAAAAGCGGAGCCCGAATCGGAATCCCAAGTCGAATCGAATCGGAGTCGGAAGCCATCGAAATCGAGTCGACCCGGCAGAATCGAGACGAGCCCTGCGCCTCTGCGTAGGCGCGGAGCAGCTGCGAGTTCCGCAGCGGCTCCGTGTTGTGGCAGGAGAGGTCCACGTCCACGGCGCCGTCGAAACGCAGGCTCAGGACGGGGATCCTGGCCCCGAGGACCAGCCGGACGAGCTCGAACCTCGGGCTCTGCGCCAGCAGCGGGAGCACGCTCCCCTGCAGGACCCGCACCGCCGCAGCGGCATCGCCCTCGTCCTGGGCGTCCGACCTAGAGAGCAGAAAACCCACCCCCATCAGAATCACCCCGACAAGCGAAGCCGCTTGGGAACCGCGCCCACAGGAAGGAATCGAACAGGGCAGGGCTGTTCGGTAAACGCCCAGGGCCGCTTGGTTAGTAAACGCCCATCGTCGGGTCCGGGTGAGTTTCCTCCTCTGACGACCGGTAGATGGTGACGTCGATGTCCGAGCCGCGGGTGAGGAGCATGTTCTTCACGCTCCCGAAGGGAGACAGGCGCCAGCCTCGCCCGAGCGGCGCGAGGGAGCGCGCCAGCTCGCCGAGGCACTCCCACAGGCGGTCCAGCTCCCGCACGGTCGGCACGGCCCCCGCGAGGGCGAGCTCGAGGTGGCGGCCCTCCAGGGCGGCAGAGTCCGGCTCCTCGTGCTCATCGGCGTCCTGGGGGGCAGCGATAGGCCCAGAGATCCGGCGCGTTGAAACACTCGAGGCGCAGGTGCTTCGCAAATTTCGGCCTCCGGGGGCCCTCGCGGGGCCTCGGGGCCGTCAAAAGACGCCTCGGGAAGAGCAACTGGTCCTGGGGCATGGGCCAAGACCTCCCGGGGACCGCGCACGGAAAAGATCACGGCATCGGCTCCCCGGGGAGGGGGGCGAGGCATCACCGGGGGGGAACCTCGACCTGCAGGCCCCCGACCGCAACTCCGCACGACCCATCGGCAGCTCGGGGCTGCCGGGCCCCCCTCGGCGATGCATGGGCGACGGGGGGCTCATGCGTCCCCCCCGAGCCTATCTCGAGGGGCCCAAGGACACACAAATAAATTCACACAAATAAAATGATTCCCCATATTTTTCTGGGGTTTTGTCTTCCCGCCCAATTCCCAAATCTTCCTGGGAGCCGACGATTCATTGTGTCTGTGTGTTTTTTTTCCGTCCTGACTATCCCCCCCCCTTTCCCCTGGAGTCCGTTGCGGTGGCGTCCGCGACTGCCGGTCCCGGATCCGCGGCCTTGCCCGCACCAGCGCGCCAAGCGAACGGCCACTCTCCGCCGCCGCCCTCGCCGGCTGCCGCCACGGAGACCACCATTCGGCGGCTGCTCTCGGAGGCTGCCCGAGGCGACCCGGGCCCGCGGGGCGCAGCCTTTTCGTCGCGGGGGGTGCCAAAGGTGCCCCTGGCCACAGGTGCCCCCCACCTTTCGCTCCCTTTTGGAGCCCAGGATGACCCTCCGTGCCTCGTGCTGGGGTGCTCCGGAGGCCGCGGGGGCCTCCCTGGAAGTCCCGCGGGCCACTTGGGCCAGGGGCACGTCCATAGCAACACCAGACGTTTCGCGCCACGCAGGAGAGCCCCGAATCGAACCGATGAGTCGGAGCAGCGACCGAAATGAATCGGATCGGCGGACATCGGCAGCCGAGTCGGGAAACATCGGATCGGCGGACATCGGCAGCCGAGTCGGAAAAAATCGAATCGGCGGACATCGGCAGGCTGCCACAGCAGGCCTCCAGTGAAAATCGGAGCCCAAATCGGAATCCGAAGTCCAATCGAATCGGAATCGGAAGCCGTCAAATCCGAATCGCATCGAATCGGAGGAATGGGAATTAGCCCTGCTACTAGAGGCCTCCTAGATGGGGTCGGAGTAGATGGGGTCGGAGGATCCCGCCACATCGCCGATGCATCGGCGACACCGGCGATGCATCGGCGACGCCAGCGAGGAGCAAGTCGGGCTCCACATCGAGCCGCATCGGCGATGCATCGCCGATGCGGCGCGATCCTCCGACCCCATCTACTCCGACCCCATCTATCGGCGGTGGACAAGCCTCCTCTTAGTGAACCACCCTTTAGTGAAAACGGCCTGGGACCGAAACCGACGGACCTGGACCCGCAAAAATGACGGCCGCGACGCCCTCTCGCGAACCGAAAGACTGGCCAATTCACTAATCGACGGAGGTCTGTCAACCTCCGAATCCAGGAGGCCTATAGACCTGAGTGCTGGGCCCCCCAGGGGGGCCGCTATGCCTCGAGGGGGGGGGGGGGGGGGCGCCTCTGCGAGCCGCCCCGCGGGCCTCCCGCGGGCCCAAGGGGCCACCTCCCCGGGGGCCACCGGGCCACCGCCCGCAGCCTCTCCGAGGCGGCGGGGGCCTGTGACGAGGTGCGCTCCCGGACGAGGACTGCCGAGCCTTCGGTGGCAACTCATGGGAGCCTCATCCTTCGCCTCTTCTGCCTCCTCCTCTCCTCCTCCTCCTCCTCCTCCTCCTCCTCCTCCTCCTCTCCTCCTCCTCCTCCTCCTCCTTCCTCCTCCTCTCCTCCTCCTCCTCCTCCTCCTCCTCCTCCTCCTCCTCCTCCTCCCCTCCTCCTCCTCCTCCTCCTCCTCCTCCTCCTCCTCCTCTCTCCTCCTCACTTCTCCCTCCTCCTCCTCCTCCTCCTCCTCCTCCTCCTCCCTTCTCCCTCCTCCTCCTCTTCCTCCTTCTCCTCCCTTCCCCTCTCCTCCTCCTCCTCCTCCTCCTCCTCCTCCTCCTCCTCCTCCTCCTCCCCTCCTCCTCCTCCTGCTCCTCCTCCTCCTCCTCCTCCTCCTCCTCCTCCTCCTCCTCCTCCCTCTTCCTCCTGCTCCTCTACGCCTTCCCCCCCTCCCCCTCCTTCCTGTACCATCTTGTTGGCCCTTACGAAGCGACGCTCGTCGGTGCTAATCGACGCTAAGTCGACGCTACATCGACGCGAATCGACGCCAGCCGACGCTACATTGGCGCTGTCCCATCGACTCCCAGACGCTACTCGACGCCAATCGACGCTCAAGACGGAATTACGTGCGTACACAAGGCTCCCATGTTTCGCTGCCAAAGACGGCGGGTTTGCGCCGAGCTGCAGTCACTGACGAGGACTGCCGAGCCTCGTCCGACGTCCCGGCAACTGATAAGGATTGCGTCCGCCTACTCAGCGCATGCGGGCGCTCCAGCAAGCAGCACGGCCTTGGGCCGAAATGGGTGCGGATTCGCATCCGAGCCTGTCCCGAAGCGCGTCCCGACCGAGACCTCGATGTGGATCCGGCCGTGGCGACGAGGGAGCCTCAGGAGGCCCAACGAGTGCAAACACATCCGGTTCCTCGATCCTCGACGGCGACGACGCCCAGCATGGCTTCCAGGTGACCAGGATGCAGCCTCGATGCCCTCCGAGAGCCAGAAGGGCAGCATCCCGGCGTCGACCTGTCCAAGTAGCCCCCCGCACGAGCCAAGGCGGCCCCGCAAGGCCCGTCAAGCCGCAGAGCGAGGGGGCCCGAAGGGTGGTGCTCGCTCCCTGAGCGCGCGTGGCCGGACGACACGCGGGGGCCTCACTTTGGGGCGACGGCTGGGGGCGAGACATTGGGGGGGGGGCACCTGGGGGCGGTTCGCCCGCCCAGGGCACCCCGCCTCTCATCCGCGAGTGCGGGGTGCTAGGTGTCTCGCCATTGATCGGACGTCCATGCCTTGTGCATCTGTCGGTCTCGTACGTGCAATTGTTTGCAAGATGACCCCAGGTGCTTCTCGATGGTTCTTGCCGCGATAAATACACGCGGCCGAGCGATGCCAATGCATTCAGAAACGCGATTGGATGATGAGGGGCTCGCTTCTGGTCACGTGTCATGCCAACAGCGGGGTGTTCAATGCTGATGGGAGGATGTCGGACTCTGGGCACCCCCGCTGAACATGCAAGTAGCGCGCGCAAAATGCTCGGCGAATCTTGCACGGGGCGACCAAGAAGGACGCGCTCCTGATACTCACGCGGATTGCAAACACTAAAGCGTCAGCGGATTGGCCGACGGGCTGAAGCTGACACGTCCTGATCTCCCTGACTCTGACATGCAAGAGGTGCCCCCTCGACATTGAGAGCCCCGAGATGATAACGATGACGAACATCTCGGCGGTGATGGATGCGATAAGGCCGTCGAGGAGGTAAGCACTCGTGCCTCGTACAAGGAACAATACTGGCGTCCCTGACGAAGAGTCGAACACGTCCCTTCGCATGATGTGCAAACGACGGTGATAACTGGGATCACGGCGGCCTGCCATCTTCCCTGCGTCTGGTGAGCCCCATCGAGAGACCTGAGCCGGTCTGATCTGCATGGGCGAACCACTTCCCCGATGCAATCATCAGCAACATCGGGAGGGCGAGGGAGAGGAGGACGGAGAGGATGGCCGGGCGGGGGGTGACGAAGGACGAGGGACAACGAAAAGAGACGAGGAGGAACAAGAGGAGGGAAAGGAGGTAGGACGAAAACGTGTGGGACCTGAGCATCCTTTCCTCGCCAGGTTTCCCCATCTTTGTCTCCCTCTCCACCCCCCGCCCCATCCCTCGCTACTCCCCTCCTGTTCCCCATCGTCCTTTCTTCTTTTTTCTCGGCCTCCTCCGCCTCCGCCTCATTCCCTCCACCTCACCGGCGCATGTGCTGTGCCGTGGCACGCGGTGTCGCAAGCGGCACGCGCGCCTTCAAAGTTAGGTCGGAGTAGATGAGGTCCTTCAAACTTGGGTCGGAGTAGATGGGGTCGGAGCATCGCGCCGCATCGCCGATGCGTCACCGATGCATCGGCGCCGTCGGCGTGGAGAACACCGGGCTCCACATCGAGCCACATCGACCAAGCATCGGTGATGCGGCGCGATCCTCCGACCCCATCTGCTCGGACCCCATCTGGGAGGCTTAAAACAAGGCTAGGATCGGGATAAATCGCTCCAGAGCGTTCCGGAGCGCTCTCAGAGCGTTCTGGAACGCTCTGGAGCGGCCGCGGCGCCCAATACATCCTCCAAACCTGCCGATTCTCAGAGATTTCGAGTTATCCCGATCCGATTTTGTCCCGATCGTCGCGTCGTTTTAGGAGGCCTCGAAAGCTTCTTGCTTCTGTTATACTGCACCTGTTGCTCTTCGACGGCAGGCCGCCCTGGGCAGGCCCCAATCCGAGGCCGGCACGACCCGCCCCTTTACCTTGGGCGCCCGAGTTATCCGGGATAACTCGGGTCCAGGGTAACTCGGGTTTGGATTCCCGAAAAACGAACCCGAGTTAGCCCTGACCCGAGTTACCCCTGATGATTCGGGGCTCTGGACGCCCGAGTTATCCGGGGTAACTCGGGTCCGGGGTAACTCGGGTTTGGGTTCCCGAAAAACGAACCCGAGTTAGCCCTGACCCGAGTTACCCCTGATGATTCGGGGCTCTGATTACCAGCCTCGGACGTATCCCCATCCCTAAGATTGGCACGCCAAAAGGCGATGACAATCTCAGGGATCCGCCCTCCAAAAATGAGGGAATCCCTATAAGATCGGCATCGTGATGAGGAGGTGCCCAGCATAGGGATAGGAGGGATATCTTCCAGGCTGGCAAGCCCCGTAAACCGGGCCGGTCTCGGCCCGGCCGGGATCCGAGCCGGACGGGGCCCCGCCTGGCCAAAATGCGAGGCCCGGCCCGGCGGGGCCTGGTCTGGTCTGCCCCCGGACGGCGCCGCGGGCCCGCAGCCCACGGGGGCCACGCGCCCTGGCCCCAGTTGGCGGCGCGCACGTGGGGGCAGGGGGAGGGGGGGAACGGCTGCCCAGAAGGAGGCTGCTTCCCAGAAGGCGCCGGCCTTGCATCTGCAGACGAGGGCCACGCCTTCTGAGAAGCAGGGGTGCCTCTAAGACGGCTTCCCCCCTCCCCCTACCCCCCTTCTGTGCGTGGCTAACCCAGACCTCTGACGTCATGCTTTTTCCATGACGTGGACCCCCCAGGAAGGTCTCGACCCCTTCCTGGAAGCGTTTTTTTTTGTTGGGACGCTCCCGCGGCCCCGCAGGAGGGCCCCGAGAGGCCGACACCAGCGAAAGACCTCCCGTCGCGAGTTTAGCCTTGCCTCGAGGGGGCCTGGGGCTCCCGCAGCCCCGCCCCCCGCTGATGGAGGCCTCCCGGATGGGGTCGGAGTAGATGGGGTCGGAGGATCGCGCCGCATCGCCGATACCTCGGCGATGCATCGGCGACGTCGGCGATACATCGACGACATCGGCGCGGAGAAAATCGGGCAACGCATCGAGCCGCATCGTCGATGCATCGGCGATGCGGCGCGATCCCCCGACCCCATCCGCTCCGACCCCATCTGGGAGGCCCAGAGCGGATCCCGCGGAGGGCCTCCGTGGGCACGCGGCGCTGGCGCGTGCGGCAGCATCATCGCCGGCGCGTGCGGCCGTGGCGCAGCCCAGGGGGGGCAGCCTGCGGGGGGCACTCGCTGCGGGCGCTGCGCTGCGGAGGGCGCCTCGCTGCGGGGGGGCAGCGCAGGGGGCCCTCGCTGCGGGCGGCAGCGCTCCCGGGGGCAGCCTGCGGCGGGGGCCCTCGCTGTGGGCCCTCGCGGAGTCAGGGGTCAGAAGCCAGTATGACATAACATTGCGCGTGTTCCCAACCCTCCTGTGTCTTGGGCTCTCGTTTGAATAGAAGGCTGTGGTCTCCGTCCTTCGCCTGCTTCCCCCTCCTCACCCCTCCTCATGCCTCATGCCTCCTCCTCCTCCTCCTCCTCCTCCTCCTCCTCCTGCTCGCCTCCCTTGCTTTCCTGGTTCGAACCTTTCCTGCTCCTGGGGGGCCTGCCAACTGCGCCACCGTCCTCACTCTCGTGGGCTCCTGGGAGGTCCAGCGGAGGCGGTGGGCTGGCGAGAACTCGCGGCTTTTTCTGGGCTGCCAACGGCGGGCCCCTGCGAGGATCAGCGGAGGCGGTGGGCAGGCGAGACCTCGCGGCTCCCTGGGAGGCTGCCAACTGCGCAAGTGTCGCCACTCTCGTTGGGCTCCTGGGAGGTTCAGCGGAGGCGGCAAGCAGGCGCGACCTCGCGGCGCCCTGGGAGGCTGCCAGCTGCACGGGTGCCGCCACTCTCTTTTGGGCTCCGGGGAGGTCGAGCGGAGCAGACGGTGCTCGCAGAGTGTTCGGGGGGGCGTTCATGTGAACAGTCGCCTCGCGCGGAGACGGGGGCTGGGCACGCCTCAGAGAGTTCCCTTGGCCGAAGACTGCCTTCGAAGCATTGCCCAGCTGGGCTCTGCGGCGCACGTCGGCCGTCGCAGCGTCTTCCGAAATCGCCCTCGGGCCGCGCAGGGCACGGGCGCCGCCAAGCGGCCCTGGCCCGAGTGCGGTCGGCCCGAGGTGCTTCGGCCCCAGACCTGCCCGCAGGTCGGGCACTTCCCCTCTAAAGGCGGGTACTGGACGGAAAAGTAAGAACACTCCAAAGATACCCAACCATAGCCAGACAGATGTATTCCCAAAACTCGTCCCCCTACTATTGCTTGACTGCTGTGGGATAGCACCGTCAGCACCATCAACGCCCTAATCAGCGTCACCACCAGCATCATCATCATCATCATCATCATCATCATCATCATCATCATCATCATCATCATCATCATCATCATCATCATCGTCCTCACCCTTATTATTATCGTCATGCTCATCACCAGCATAATCATCATCATCATCAACATCATCAACATCATCATCATCAACATCATCATCGCCATCACCAGGAATTGTAACAACCCGCTCGAACCCGTGGAACCCATCAAGGGTTGAGCCATCGGAAACTAAACGGAACCATGGAACGCACTCCCGCCTATCGCCGAAGCTGGCACAGGGGGGAGGGGGTGCTGAGGGGAAATTCTTTACAACAAGTCGTACTTTCTGTTCAACCTGCCTCATCATCAGCATCAGCATCATCATCACTACCACGATCACCATGATCATGCTCATGATCACCATCGACTGCATCATCATCATCATCATCACCATCATCACCGTCACCATCGCCATCTGTGTCTTCATCATCGTCATCATCAGCATCAGCACCGTCACCATCCACACCATCACCACCAGCACCATCACTATCATCAACAACATCATCAGCATCATCGAAACTTGAAAGAACCCGCGCGGCAAAGCTGTGGAAGCCAACGAACTCAGAACAATCGGAGGCCAGGGGCCATGGGACCCCCCCCCCGCCCACCGCCGAAGCTGGCCGGGGGAGGGAATTCTGTAGGGAAAGCTGGCTTTGTAAAGAATGACCCCCTTCCTCGTCATCGTCACCATCGTCATCGTCATCAGCATCATCATCATCAGCATCATCATCATCACCACTGCGCAGTGCTTCGGTGCGGATCGTCAGCGCGCCTCGTCTCCGTCTTCGTTGTCGTCGGCGTCGTCGTGGTCGTGGTGCGTGTTGCTCTGCTCGGGACTTGTTCCTCTCATGCAGTGACCGCCACCACCATCACCACCACCAGAAGCATCGTTATCACCATCATCATCATCATCATCACCATCACCATCAGCATCACGATCATCAGCAGCAGCAACATCATCATTGTCATCATCGTCGTCGTTGTCATCGTCATTGTCATCATCGCCGTCGTCGTCCTATACTTCTGGCATCATTCCACCTCCCCCTCCCCCCATGATCCATCCTCGCGTTGTCAAAGCTCATGCGTCCTTTCCTCCCTCCTCCCTGCCTGGTCGTTTCCTCCTCATCCTCTTTCTCTCCCTCCCAGCGGCTGGAATGAGCCCTACTTTATTTTTCACGGCTTGAAAAACATTATACACCGACCTGCTCAACTATGCCACGGATTAAAACTACGAGCGTCGTCATCATCGTCGCCACCGTGAACTTCCCCGTCATCCTCATCATCATCGGCATCTTCGCTAGCATGGCCGTTTTCGTCGTCGTCATCGTCATCGGCGTCATCGCCATCGTCGTCATCGTTTTTGTCGGTATCGCTCTCATCGTCTTCATCATCATCACCATCATACGTGTCGTGGTTTATCGTCATCATCGTCATCAGCAAAGTCGCCAGAATCGCCAACAACATTATCATTATTATGATCACCATCATCCTCATCGCCGTGCTCACCATCATCATCATCACCATCATCGGCATCATCATCAACATCAACATCATGATCGTGAGCATCATCATCATCAGCATCATCATAATCATCGTCGTTGTTGTCGTCGTCAGCATCATCATCGTCATCAGCGACTTCGCAAGTATCACAATCGACGTCATCACCATAATTACCACCATCAACCTCATCATGATCAGTAGGATCATCCACTTCCACATCCTCCTTCTCATCGTAATCATCACCATCATAATCATCAACATAAGCAGCATCAGAATCATCGCCACCATCACCATCATCGGCATCATCACTATCATCATCAGCAGCAGCATCATCACCATCGTCGTCATCATGGTCAACATTATTGGAAATTGGAAGTTGGAAGAAACAACGCGATGCCGTGGGATCCTTGAGGGGCCGGACTATCGGAGGCCAAAGACGGTCCCCTCGCCGCCCACCGCCGAAGCTGGCCGATGGGGTCAGGGGGAAATGTGTTGAAACAGGCTGCCTTCGTTCAGACTCCCCCCCTTCCTCGCTATCACACCATCAACACCCTCACCCCATCACAACCACCACCACCACCATCATCATCATCACCATCATCATCATCATCATCGTCATCATCATCATCTTCGTCATCATCATTATCACCGTCATCGTCATTGCCGTCGTCATCTTAGTCGCCACTCGGCCCTGCTTGACGCTTGGATGCCTCGCTAGGATGCCCTCCCCTGTTGCCCTTCGAACTCGGGCGGCGGAAAAAAGGAGATGGTGATAAGGAGGACAGAGACAGCGGGAGGAGGGGGGGGGACAGCATCAGCAGGAGGACTAATGATGAGGAATGAGGAAGTGGGATGCGGAGCATGAGGAAGAATGACGGGAGATGAAGGGCACAGGAGAAGGAGGAGAAGGAGGAAGAGGAAACCGTTGATAACGGGGCGGAGCCTGATACACTCAGTTTCCCTTCAGTTTCGGGCAGCAGGAGGAGAATGAGGATGGGGAGGAGGATGAGGAAGGTGTTGACAACGGATCGACCCTTGCACCTCCTCGCACCTCCTCGACTCTCCTCGTCCCTCCTCGTACGTTCTCGCACCTCCTCGCACATCCTCGCACCTCCACGCACCTCCTCGCAACCACTCGCATCTCGTCGCACATCCCCGCACCTCCTCCTCCTTCTCCTCCTCCTCCTCCAACTGCTGCTGCTCCTCATCCTCCTCCTCATCATCATCTCTCTTCCCTTCCTTCTCCGACCTCTGTTCCTGCCTCCTACTCCTTCTAGCCGTCATCATCAACATCGTCTTCATCGTAATCATCACCATCACCATCAGGCTCACCATCACCCTCACCACCACCATCATCATCATCATCACCATCATCATGGATATCATCAGCATCAGCATCAGCTTCATCATCAGCAAGATCAGTATCGTCAGCAAGATCAGGAAACACAGCCGCAGCAGTATCACCATCGTCATCGTCATCATCATCACCACCATCATCATCAGTAAAAACATGATCGTTGACGTCGTTGTCGCCATCATCATCATCAGCATCATCATCATCATCATCATCATGATCGTCCGCACCACCAGTAGCACATTCGCAATCAGCACCATAGTCATCCATCACCATAACAGTTACCATCACCATACTCAACACCATTCAAACAACCATCACTATCACCAGCACAATTGCTATCAGCATCAGCATCATCATCGGCACCATACTAATAGTCACCATCATCATCATCATCATCATCATCATCATCATCATCACAATCACCATCACCATCACTATCACCATCAACACTACCATCCTCATCATCATCATCACCATCATCAGCATCATCAGCATCATCATCATCATCATCATCATCATCATCATCATCATCATCGCAGGCGCGACACCGAAGAAACCGGACTGCAACATGCGACAGGGTCGACCAGACTACCGACATCAAATGCCAGGCACGCCCAAATGGCCCTGGACGTCAAAAGCCATACGTGGCGTCGAAATGCCACTCCTGGGGCGGCCGCCACTTCGCAGACTGGGGCAACCTCGGGTCATACCTTCAAAAATATGTCACACGGCTCAGAACGCGCCGGACAATGCGACAGCCATTGGAACGGTTCCGCTGTACTACGCCGCAGACGCGACGACCGATGCCTCGCAAGAAGAGAAGTTCCATGCGACGACCGAGGCAACGACCGATGCCAGTCGACGCTCGCCAACACCCTCCTCTCTCCACAAGTCCTGCATCATGGCGGGGGCTTCTGCTTTCCCTGAGCCCCCAGCTCCAAGGTTCCTCCCCCTCTCTCTCCCCCCCTGCCTCAGATTTATGTGTTCCGTCATGATGGGCTGGATCTCGGTTTCTCCGTGCGTGATTGTGTGGGGGCGATTCTCGGCCTGCTGCATCGTGGTGAGCATGGGGCTCCGAAAGCAGAGGGGTCGGGGATGCCAGTCGAGCGCGCCTCGGCCAGAACACACCCGCAAGCTCGCCGCGAACGGGAGAGCTGACACACACCCTAGCAGCTTCACCTTAGGGGTGCCACCCTCGCAATCTGCCAGTGAAGCCAAACGGGCGCCTCGCTCGAGACACCCCCTTAATCTGGGCGCGAACGCGCCATTGTGATAGATCAGCCGATCAAGCGCCAACCAGCCGAACAGCCGATCAGCCGATCAGGCGCCGAGCAGCCGTCTGACCGGCTGATCTGCTGGATCGGATAATGACCCCAGGGAGCCGTCGCGATGAGAAACCGAATGCAATAGAAAGCAAATGGATTTAATTGAGTGTAGAGGGCCGGCGCCGTCCGACGCCGCGCTCGGCCACAGTGGCAACGTCGACAGGAAGACTTCCATGTCGAAGGGGAACGTATGCCTGGTAGTCCTCTGATTTGTAAGATGGCACATCCCGTATGTGGCGGCGACGGGTCCCAAGGGGGAAGCTTTCGCAGGAGGCAGAGCTGGACATGTCTTGATGGGGGTGCTCGGGCTCGAAAATTTGCACGCAGCGCGCACTGCCCTGGCATGCAAGTTCCGACAACGAAGGCACAGAAAATCGTGGCTGGCCGCGCAGATGGAGTACTGTACAGAAGCACTGGGCGCGGCTAGCCAGAAGCATCCTGGCAAAACTCTTCATAGAAACTAACGGCGCCAGAGGCAGACGTGTGCAAAAAAGACTAACGATTCAATTCGTCACAGTGCCTCCTGGCACGTTGAGGCTTGGTAGAGCACCAAGGGCTGTCTGTTAGGGGTTAAGGGTTCCGGTGTAGCTCCGGAGTGCCACCTCTTGAGCTCGTCACGCCCAGCCGCGCACGGCCCCCAAAAGCCATAACGTAATCGCCAAGAGCGCTCCCAGAGGCTTCCAACGCGTCAAGGACAAAGCCAGAGGGCCCTTCAGGAACGCCAAAATCATCCAACACGCATCTCAGAGCCAGTAGTTGTTGTAAGTACTTTCGTTCTGCGTGTCCAATAGCTCTCGGCTCAAGATGGTCCCAAGAGGGCCGCGGATGAGTCAAAGAGAGGCCCCGAGAGCCCAAGGAGGGCCTCCAGCAGCCCATGCGGCCCAGGACGGCTCCAGAATTGCCCCAAGAGGCTCTGGCGGGGACCCAGGAAAGTGCAAATGACCCCGAGAGACTCCCTCGACACCTGAGAGGAGACCAAGACAGCACCAAGACTGCCCAACAGAGCCCCAAGAAGACCCAAAAGGGTTCTTGAAGCGGCAGGCAGCCCCCCCCCTCAAGGAAGACCTTCAAGGAACAGGGACGAGATGTGGCACATGTTGCGGCCTTCTTGGCGATACTGAAAACGTCGCCACTCTGAGTGCTGCGCTTGCACGGTGCCAGGACTTGCTGCAAGCAACTGGCTAGACCAGGAAAAGAGAAACAGCATACACATATTTGTCGGCGCTCCCTGCGGACTTCTTGGATCGGCGCTGAACATCTCTAGCGCGCGGAGAAATCCAAGGGCAGCGCCAGAGGCGCCGCTACGGAGGCGCCGCTACAGAGGCACAGCGCCGGTCCAAGCAATCCGCGCGGAACCCCAGCATCCTATGTTTATGCAACCGTTCTTCTTCTAGGAGGCCTCGAGGTCGTCACCAACACCAATATCAGCAGTATGCCTCCACCGAGGGACGATGATCCCGATCTCTGTGATGGTGGTAAGATTCGGGCTTCCTAGGTGACCCAACGATTACCACCGACATCAAAATCTAGGATCATCCGCCCCTGCTGCACAAACACACACACACACTATTTTTGGTGGTGGTGCCCATTCCTAAGCCTCCAATCTTCACTGCGCGAACGGGTTTGGAGGTGTGGTGGAACAGTGCTCAGCGAGGGATGTACGGCCCGCCCTTGATGTCCTCCACCAGCTTCTCCTGATAGGTCACCGCCGCCAGCACGTCGTGCCCCACGTGCAGAATCTGGCAGCCCTTCGCCGCCATCTTCTTGGCCATGGCAGGGTAGCGCGTGCTGAAGAAAACGTACTTCCCGTGCCTCTTGGCCGCGTCTATGACCTTGTCTGCAGCGGCAAGCGTCTCTGGCGCCTCGTTCTGGTAGGGCACCCCGAGGGCAGCAGACATGTCGTTGGCGCCGAGGATAACGCAGTCGAGCCCAGGCACGCTGCAGATCTCCTCGATGTTCGAGATCGCCTCAACGGTCTCGATCATCACGCAGACGAAGATGTTCTTGTCAGCCTCCTCCAGGTACTTCGTCAGCGGGATCCTGCCGTAGTTCATCGGAGTGGTAGGCCCGAAGCCCCGGCTGTGACGATTCGGATCTTCCACAGTGCTCGGTTGCGCCTTGTCATAGGGGGGTGCCCGCTGGCCGCCAGTTGGGTATCGGCAGTCGGCAACAATGCTCCGCACGTCCGCCGCCGTTCTGACCTGCGGCACGGCGATGCCGTCGGCGTTCATATCCAGCGCATGCTTGATAAACGCGCCCCAAAACAGCCCCACGCCGTCCACTCGATTCGGGCCTGGTACCCGCACGATGGCAGGGCAGCCCTTGCCGTGCGCGACCATCATGTGCCATTTCAGCATCTCTGGGCTGAGGGGAATGTGCTCGGTGTCGTACCAAATAAAATCCGAGCAGTCCGCAAGAGCGTCTGTAGACGTGGGATCCGACAGCTGCACCCCGATGCCCACCAACGTCTCCCCATTTGCGAGCTTGGAGCGGAACCGCTTGATTGCCTGTAGACGGGGTCTCTGTAACCCATGAAAAAACTGTCCCGATACCTCCTTTTGGGGCAAATCCCCCATCGATGTTTCTACGTGATGCTCTCTGCCGGGTCGATTGGCGCGCCCCCCCCCCTCAGGGAAGGAACACAAAAACAGTCGCACGCCGTGATTTGTCATGTCGCCCGAGGTCAAGGACGCTGAGAAAAGCATGTGCGCTGTTACGATGTCACAAGGGAACATATGTCTCGCGGCCAGAAGCGGACGGAGGGATCACTTCTGGCTATCCCCGCAGCCTCCCGGAGGTCCTGGACCCCAGGGCTTCTCCCAGAACAAGTGACTGCTTCATCCCGAGCTGCCTCTTGACTCTGTGGCTGGCGGCGTGTGCGCGGCCCAGGGGGTGGCCGGGGACGTATGCAAACAAGAAGAGGCGCCATGAAATGTGTGGAAGTGTCGTGGCCTCCGCCATAATATCCCCCCCCCCTGGTCATCACCCCCTTCGCGGCCGCCCCCGATTGACTGCCCCGGGGCCCGTGAATGACCCCAGGGGGACCCGAAGACTAGAAAAGACTTCGGATCCCTTCTCGTTCCTGCTGGCTGGGGGCCCCCGCGCGAGCGCGCCGAAATCAGAGCCCTCTGTTCGCACACGCGCCCAGCTGCAACGCACTGCCTCCGGCCAGACCGGCGGCCCCCCCCCCCCGGCCGTGCCGCCGACGCCACGAGCAGCCCCCGCAGAAGTTTCTCAACCCGGGAAGCCCCAGGGACCCACAGAAGCTCTGCGGCACCTTGTGACCTCCACAGATCGACCAGGACTGTGCTCCAATATTATTTCTTATATTTACACTTCCTTATGGAAGGAGGACGACGAGGAGGGGGAGGCGAAGGAGGAGGAGGAGGGGGAGGAAGAGGAGGAGGAGGAGGAGGAGGAGGAGGAGGAGGAGGAGGGGGAGGCTCTGACAAACCAGAACGCTGACGCGCCCGAGACACAGCTGCGGTCGCGGGTCGGAGCATTCTCCGTCGGTCGCTCTCTCAGGCCGGCCCTGGCAGAACAGCCGCCGACCCTGTCGGCGTGTGTGTGGGTGGTTGTCCGTCCGAGTCGTCGTCCCCGCGTCATCCGTTGGTCGTCGCCCCTGTCGTCCCCTGTCCCTGCGGCCCCCGTCTCCCCGCGCCCTCCGTCCGGGGGCGCCCTCCGCCGCTCCCCCCCCCCCCGCTGCCCCGAAACCGAAACGGGAACGGCGGCGCGGGGCCCACGGCGGGGGCCTCGAACTGCTGGCGGCTGCCGCGGTGCACGCGCGGCGGCTCCTCGCAGCCCAGCGGGGCGCCGCCGAGGGCCCCCGCGGCGCCCCGGCGGGCCGCCCACGCGCTCGGCGGCTCCCCGGGCCGCGCCGCCTCGCGCCGGGGCCGGGCCGCCACGGCCGCGCCGGCCGCGCCGGCGAGGGCCCTGGCTGCCAGCCGCCGCGTCGCCATCGCCGAGGCCCCCTGCGGCGGCGGCGCGGACCCCGCGCGATGCCCACCTATAGCCCTGGGCGGTCTTCTCGGCGATCTGCTCGCGACGGCGGCCTCGCGGGCGGTCCTCGGGCGATCTTCGGGGGTCTCTCTTCGGCGGTTTTGTTCCGTGCTGCGGTCTTCCGGCGCTCGTTTCTGTCGGCCCTCGGCGGTGTTCGTCGGTTTCTGCGGCGGTCTCCGGCTCGGAAGCGGGACGTCTGCGGTGGACCAAGGGGGGTCCGTGGTCGAACACCTCACAGATCGTCCGCGGGCCGACGGGCTGCCTGTGGCGCGGCCGCGGGCGCGTCTTTTTTTTCAAAGCTCGAGCCACGGCGGCGAGGGAGGGTCCAATCGCTGCCCGTCCTGCTCATCCTCCTGCGCAAAACGCCGTCAGCGACCGCCGCGGCGTGTAGGTACACCGATGTCCGGGGCTAGCCGAGCAGAGATGCCCTCCATCGCTCATGTCGCGGGACCGGTCCTCTTCCTCGTCGCCCGCTCGCTCCCCCACTTCCGCGTGATTATCCTCGTTCGCTTCCTCTTCCTCCTCCTCCTCCTCCTGCTCTTCCTCCTCTTCCTCCTCCTGCTCCTCCTCCTCCTCCGCCTCCTCCTCCTCTTCCTCCTTCCAATACCCCCGTTGCTCGTCATCCTTCCTCTGCGGTTCATCATCTTCCACTTCCATGTCGCCATGTTCCGCCCGCTCTTTCTCCTCACCCTCTCCTCCCCTCCGCCTTCCTCTCTTTATTTCCATGTTTCCCTATCACGCTCTCTCGCCCTCTCCTTTTCTCTCTCACTCTCTCTCTCTCTTTCTGTGTATGTTTTGTGTCACCCCTTTTCTCTCTCTCTCTCTCTCTCTCTCTATATATATATATATATATATATCACTCTTACTCCGGTTTTTTTCCCAACCATCCTCTGGTGTTGGGTCCTCGTTTGAACGAGACAGCGCCCCGCGTCCCTCCTGCCTCCTCCTCCTCCTCCTCCTCCTCCTCCTCCTCCTCCCTCTCCTCCCTCCTCCCCTCCTCCTTCCTTCCTGCATTTCACCCGCCAAGCACAGCGTTTCGTGACCCCATAGGGAGCTCCACCGAAGGCCCCAGTGGCAGGGTTCGCATGGCGCCCCATCCCTCACACTGTTCGTGGCCCCATAGGGAGCTCCACCAAAGGCCCCAGTGGCAGGGTTCGCATGGCGGCTCCGCCCCATTTTGGCGCACCACTGACACGATTCGTGGCAGCATAGGGAGCTCCACCGAAGGCCCCAGTGGCAGGGTTCGCATGGCGGCCCCGCCCCATTTTGGCGCACTCCTCACACGGTTCGTGGCCCCATTGGGAATTACCCTTGCTTCGTCTCACCTGCCCTGCGGTCTTCACACTTGCGTATGTCGCCAGGATAATTCTCTCTCTCTCTCTCTCGCCCCTTTTCTTTATCTAGTTGATTGTCCCCCTTTCTCTCTTTGTGTCTTTCTCTCTCTCTCTCTCTCTTTCTCTCGCTCTCTCTCTCTCTCTCTTTCTTTCTCTATCTATCTCTCTCTCTCTCTCTCTCTCCCTTTCTCTACACACACACGCACGCACACCCTCCTCCTCCTCCTCCACCTCTTCTCCACCGTCCTGCAAATCCTCGGTCAGGATACGCACGTGAACGATCACGAATGTCTCAGACCGATCGGATACCTCTTCCATTTGAAATGCGACGCCGGCTGTGCCTTGAATCTGGGCTGGCTCGGGCAGCCGTTTGACAATTACCGATGCGCTATTGGCTAGTCCCGCGACTCTGGCCATATGTTTGGAGATCTTGCGATGATCGACTGCCCGTGCGTCCTCGTCGCCGTCCCGCGCCATGCAGAGCTGGTTAACCTGCTCCTCGAGCAGCTGGCGCACTTCCGTGGATTGGTTGAGTTTGCCACAAACATCGCCGATCTCCTCGTTGGCCCTGGTGGCCCCGATGCGAGCGCGGAGCGCCTCCTGTAACGCTGCGCCGCGATCCACCACCATCTGTTGTAACTCGGCACGATGCGCGCTGCGGCTCGTCTCGGCCTGCTCGACGCAGCGGCGGGCGCAACCCTCGATCGCGTCGAACGCCTAGCCCATGTGAGGCATGATGGACCTCTGCTTGGCCTGGGGCTCCAGGTGGCAACCCCTGGCGACGTCATCTCCCGAGGGAGGCCCAACGGCGGCATGCGGGATCCTGGCCCGCCAGAAACGCCGCGCGCTCGGGGGCGGGGCGGCCGCCAGACGCAATTCAACAGCGGCGGCTGGCGGCTGGCAGGTTGGCAGGCGGCCGCCAGACGGCAATTCAACAGGGATCTGGGGGGGGGCAGTAGTAGGAACTCCTTGATCTCAAACGGCCGCGGACATTCAACGCTCGGTGGCTAGTGATGACCGATGCCAACCTTCAAGCGCGAGCGACCTGTGCTACGAACGTGTTTCCTGCGTATTTCGCTGCCGACAACAACGTGTCTGCCAGATTCTCACAATGAAAAATCGCGACTGCCCCTATGTCTCCTGTCAGCACTTCCCCTTGCAACCGCAATGGCTGACTTCTATATGCCAAATCTCCGGGCCGCGCTGCAACGAAGATCGCGGGCCCCGGGCGCCCCACATTATCATTTCGGGAAACTCGTGGAGCAGGCGCTCTACGGCATCGGCCGATGTTGCGCGAATCATGGTTTGATCCACCTCCTCGGGCACCAAAAACAGCGCCTGGCGCCGTCCAATGCCATGGCCACCGGGCCAGGAAGACGCGGCGCAGCGAGGGCCTCAGTCGACGCCAAGAAGGCGGCCCGCACGTTGCGAGAGCCCTGGCGAGGAGGCCAGCCACCAGGCAAGTGGGGAAAAAACGAGCCACCGACCGCCGCCGAGACGCACGCGGCAAGATATTGCTTCACAACAAGCACGAAAACACGCCGATCTCGGCGAGTCTCGGCAGGGGGCGAAACCGCGCTGGGCGAGCGCGGACAGACGGGAATTCCAAAATAGCACGGACGCCTCCCGCCCTTGCAACGCCCCGCGGCTTCGGCGCGGGAAAATCGCCCGCGGCGTTCGGTAATTTTTCCGCATGCGTTCGCGCGGGCACCGCTGCGCGACCAGCGACCGCAATCGCGCCAAATTTTTTCTTGCCAGCGCTAGAGTTCATTATTTTCCAACATTGACAAACCTGTTCTATGCAGTTTTCAACATTTTCTCAGCGGCCAAACTGCTCTGAAAATTTCAGCTTCAGAGTTGCCCGACATTGTCCAAAACAGTTTTCAATATTTGTCCGCGGCAGCTTTCTGAAACAAACTCTGTTATTCCATTTTGTTCGAAGGGCAGCTCGTCGAAAGCTCCACGTCGAATTTTTCCCTGACGCGATCCGCCTGTCCCGTGGACTCGTTTCGCCCGCAGCCGCGCGACCGCGACTTCTTCCTCTTGAGTGGCGCATCTTCACTAGAAAGCCCGCGACCTCCTCCCTCGGGCGACTACGGGACGATTCCGGAGCTGCGGCGCCGCGGAATCCCGACGCGGCGCCGTCGCGGCCTGGCAAGCGCCGCAGTCGCGAAACACGCGGCGACGCAACGGGCCCCGGCTGCCCAGCCAACGGCGCGCGCGGCAATCGACGAGACTCGAAGCGCCAGCAAGGAAACGCGCATCCTGTGAGAGATCTCCTGGGAGCGCCCTCCGCATGAGAGGGGCCGCCATGAGGGGGCGTGCCCCGGCGTGCCGCGCAGCGATTGCCGGATATCACCTGGCCCTTGACGTGCTTGGTCTCTTCCGTGCGACTACTGATCCTTCTGCTGCGGTCGTTGCTGATGCCTGTTTCTCTGTGGAAGCACCTGGCGGGAGTGCCGATCCTCCTGCTTACATCCATGGCACATGCTACGCGCGGCCTGGCTGTCACAGTCGTAGCAGCACGACATACAGCTTCGCCTAGGAGTGACACGCGGTCCATTAAGAACGTCTCTGGCACATCTTCGAGCCAGCGCAGACGCGGCCGTCTGGGGTCACCACCATGCGGAGGGGACTTCTGCCTGAGGGGATGTGCTGGGATGGCGAGTCTTGGCGGAGTCGGGTGAAGTTCCAGTCCGCCATGCCCGCTGAGTGTGGATGACTGACTGGCGTCAACGGGCAGCTCAGGGAACGCACTTTAAAGCGCCCGCGGGCACAAGCATCAACAACCTCGCCCGCAACCGCAACTGGGCAAAACATGTTTTTGCCGCGGGCTCCCGCAACCGCGCCCACAACCGCAACTGCAACCAAACATCACGTTTTCGGCCGCGGTCGCCCGCAACCGCGCCCGCGACCGCACCCGCACCCGCAACCACCAAACCCGCAACCGCGCCCGCAATCGCACCCGCAACCGCACCCTGGCAACACAATTTCGACCGCGGGCGCCTGCAACAACGCCCGCTTCCAACGTCGAACCGGGCAACACGGCTCGGGACCCGGACGCCCACAGCTGCACACTGCGCCCGCAACTGCGCCCGCAACTGCGACTGGGCAGCCACTTCTCGGCCGCGGGCACCCGCATCCGTGCACGCAGCCGCACGCGCGGCCGCGACTGGGTAACGCGTGCTCTGGGCGGCGGGCGCCCGCAGCAGGACCCACAACCGCACCCTCCGCCGCAATGCGGCAGCACGTTCAGGGCCGCAGGCCCGCGCTGAGGCGCCCGCAATGTCCAACAGGGGAACGCATTTCGGCCGCGAGCGCCCGCAGCGGCACCCGCAACCGCACCCGCACCCAAACAACAGATGTTGAACCGCGGGGATCCACAACTGCGCCCGCCATCGCGCCCGCAACCGCGCCCGCAGCCGCGCCCGCAGCCGCAGCAGCCGCAGTCAAGCAGCAATGGCGGGACAGCGGGCGCCCGCGACCGTGCTTGCAACTGGACCCGCAGTTGCGCCCGCAACCACTGCCGAGGGTGTCGGGTTGAACTAGAGGGCGTCATCCTCATCACCACTACAGAAATCATCATTATCATCATCATCAGCATCATCCTCATCACCATCACCATCCAGCAACAGCATCACCGCAATCATCAGCAATGTTATCAACATCGCCTCCATCAACGCCAACAGAATCAAGACCACCACCGCTATCGTGCCATTGTCGTATTCGTCCACGATCAATAACAGCGATGTCGTCGTCGCCACCATTTTCATCACCAGCGTCACGTCCATACTCGACATCACCATGATGAGCAGTGCCTACTATTCGTTTTGCACCTCGCTGCCACTGTAAACTGCACCTGGGTGATTCTGGCGATCGATCCTCCGTCAGGACATCCCCATTTCACGCTGCTGCATGTGATGCTTCTGCCCCCAAGCGAACCCAAGCCGCCAACGAAACAAAACGTACGCCTAATGTGATCCAGCCACGCGGCTGGCCGCAGCATCAACGCTGATGATTTGGATGTCGTAGTTACAGTCGGCCCGTATCATATGGATGCGCGATAAGGATGCAAGGGCTTTGGACGCAAGCTTCTCGAGCGGGGCGCGGCCGACGAAAGTGGCCAAGCACGCACCTTGGAGGTGAGAATGCAAGGGTGTCCTTGGGAAGGTTGCCCATCCTTACTATGCGGTTTGACTGCACCCTTCGACCCAGATGCATCCTGCCCCCCGATTCTGCAAAGAACATCTCGAACGGAAGGACATCGAGATCTGTCGAACGTTAGAGTGCGAGCAGCAGAGCTACGAACCGACGCTCCCTCCATCCCTCGTCGCCCTCCTAATGCAGAATGCGAGCGTCTGTTATTCATGGCGGCGAGCGAGGGGGGAAATGAGAAGGAGAAGGCCTTCTCAGAAGGCGGTGGGACTGCTCACAAGCCCTCGCGCCTTCTAAGAAATGTTCTGCGTCTTCGGGGAAGGCTCAGGAAACTGCTCAGAAGGCCAGGGGACTTCCGAGCCTTCTGAGAATGCCCGCCCCTTCTCACTTCCCCCTCGGGCTCCCCGCCGATATTCATTTTCGCGAGCAGCAGGAGACTACTCGACCATCCATGGAGGGGGGATCGGCTCAAAGGGGGGAGGTATCGACTTGGGATCGGCGATGCTTCGCAGGTAGCTCGGCGACATGCCCCCCACAGCGAATTCCCACGTGCCTGGGCGGAGTGGCCTTTCGTAGAGGTCAAAAAATTCACCCCGATAAGAACCACCCCGACACGCGAAGTCGTTCAGCAAACGCGCCCAAGGAAAAAGTCGAACAGGGCAGGGCTGTTCAGTAAACGCCCAGGGCCGCTCAGCAAATGCCGATTATCGGGCCCGGGTGGGTTTTCCTCCCTTGACTCCAGGCCCCTGCAGCAACATCGGTGACGAATAGGCGATTGGGGGTCGATGCCTCCCCCCCTGATCGTTGGCGAAGCGCGCGTCTGCCCGCGGCCTCGCTGGCCGGGGCCCCTGGGCCGTGACCCCCTGCAATAATACGGGGCATTCTCCCGCGGATACCCCGCGGGGCACGTGTGCGTGCGACCGCGTATCTGCGGGACCTCGCCCCGGAGCCCAGACCGCGAGGGCGCGCCCAAAGATCCGACGGCGTGATTCTTCAAGCACGGCCCCCCCCCCCTTCGAAGTCTCGACCCACTCCCCGGGGCCGGCTTTCCATCCTGAGTCGTTTTTCGACGGCCCCGCGGCCCAGCGAGGGCCTCTGGAGGCCGAACACGGCGAAGAACATCTGTCTTGAGTTGTTTGTCAGTGCGTTGGATCTCTGGGTGGATGTGCAGCACGCTCCCTTCGCCGCTCGTGGCCTGAGCAGATCCCCCCCCCCCCGACGCTGCCCCCGACTCGCCGAGCGGGCCCGCTCCGCAGCCCGAGGGGGCGCGCCACAGCGGCCGCTCTCGGGGGCCCTGGCCTCACGACGAGGCCTCCCAGAGGGGGTCGCAGCAGACGGGGTCGGAGGACTGCGCCGCGTCGCCGATGCATCGGCGATGCACCGTCGGCGCCGACGAGGAGAACATCGGGCTCCACAGCGGGCAATGCCGCCGATGCATCGGCGATGCGGCGCGACCCTCCGACCCCATCTGCTCCGGCCCCAGCTTGCACCGGCTACCCGCAGAAGCGACCCGGGGCAAGAGCGGCCTCTGGTGTGCGGCTGCGGGGGGCCGCGGGCAGGCCAAATCCAAGCGCACAGGCCAAGTGCTGGGTGGGCCCCCTGTGAGCCCGCACCAACTGGGGCGACGAGATCTATACCGATCTTCGCCTCCCTGGCCAAGCGCGTCCTGAACCCAGCAGAGGTGCATACACGGCACGCCCTTCTGGCTCTGCCAGGAGCGCGTGTAGACAGCTCCGGGGCCCAGGACGGGCCTGGCCAGGGGCAGCGCACATGCACACATCTCGCCGCCCGACCAGAGGGCACTCTGGCGAAAGGCCACTCTCACGTGTGGCCGGTTGGAGGCCCAAGTCACACTTGGACGCCCGAAGTGGGCACGGAAAAATTGGTACAATGCCCAACAGCAAATGCTGTCCCAAACTAACAGCGGCCGCTGTTGGGCAGGCGGCCTTCTGCTTCGAATAGACACAGGCCGCGGCAGCACCGACAGCGAGTCCTGTTCAACATGGACAGGAACTGATGTCGTCCTTTGTTAGGGGAACGAATCATGACAACAACCAAATAAAAACTCGGAGGTCCGCGCGGATTTCTTGGATCCGCGCTGGACCCCCCTCCCTGGCGCGCTCCGCGCGCCAGGGAGGGGCGGCGCCAGGAGCGGCGCCGGAGGCGCCGCCAGGGGGGTCCAGCGCCGCTCCGAGAAATCCGCGCGCGGACCTCCGAGTTGTTATGTTCATGCCATTTTACGTTCCCCTATTTGTGCCCATTCTCTCCGTGCCCAGTTCCATCGTCCCGATCACAGGTCGCCCAGCCGGCGCTCCCGGGCGTCCTCGGGGCCGGGCCCCGGGGAGATGGCGAGGAGGAGCTGCCGCCACTCGCCGCGCACCTCGGCGCTGCTTGGGGGCAGGGGGGGCACGGGGGGCCGCGGGGCGCCCTCGGCGAGCGCGCGCCGTGCGCAGAGGTGCGCCGAGGTGCGCGTGCCCGCGCCGTGGAAGAATCAGGGCGGGCGGTTCTGTGGGGGGTCCTTCTCGGCCTCCACGGGCCCTCGCCGTGCCCCGGGGCCGTCCACGGGAACCGCTCGGGGCGATGGAGCTCCGGCCCCGTAGGGAGAGGGTCGGGGCTTGCGGAGGCCCCAAATGGAAAGCAGGCAGCCACGTGTTCTTTTGTTTGTTGCTCTCTCTCTCTCTCTCTCTTTCTCTCTCTCTCT